ATATTGTTCAGTCAATGATTACGGACGGAGACTATATTTTCCCTAATTTTTTTTTGTGTTGATTATTACAAAAAATCTGACCGTCTGCGTTCAGAAACTCTTAAATTATATATACCCCGGTATATGAACCATCTTCCGGGAATATAATAAAGCATAGTGGGTGTTCTAATACTTCATTAAATTCACCATCTTATTTATATTTTCAAAGTCATATTACGACTAAAATGGTCCTCCAAATATACCTCTCTCTGAGCATGATAAAATGTAATTGTAGAATATCAAATACATCACCAAATAGTTCCACTACCCCGATAACAGTCTATGAAAGCTCTCCAAGTGCAACTTTAACATACTACGGTATGAGACTCATCGATAATACTGCGCCATCCATATTTGTGTACGAGTATCGCGCACATGTAGGTAATAACTAAACAAAAGGATACACACGTGCAGTTCTGACGACAGAGTCACTACCACAGGGTTATTGATTTGCACGATATGTAACTACCTACCTGAGAGAGAAATACTACAGTAGGGCAAAAGAAATACACAGGACTGTTCAATATTTTTTTTTTTTTGGAGAAGACAGAAACAGAGGTTGACATCCAAGAAGAATTCGCTCGTGATTAAAAAATAAACTATTTTAGCAATGAAGGAGTTAACATAGAAGCAATCTTTACGAGAGATCACTGCGTGTTATCATCAAAATATAGCCCTTGTTTGACACCTTCAGTTATTATATCTGATAAACTGTCTTCAGTACTGGTCGTTAAATAAGGGTCATCTTCGTAGGTTAGCATCGGTTGATGGGTGGCCCTGGGAAAAATAAGACAGAATATCAATGAACAGTTTTATTTTTGCCACTAGGATATTTTGCAATTTGTCGACTTTGTGAGGACGACTGCACAAAAGTTAATACGCTTGAAATTAGAGTTCTTCATTTGCTCATACAAATAATTTTGACATCACACAAATAAATCATATTAATAGAATCAAACTTCACATATATATCTGAAAAAGGAGCCACTGTGTACATATCCCAGGTGGCTACTGTAAAGTACTTATTTTCACTATTTTTGTTGAAGGGATGAATCAGTGGAAATGCGTTTTTTCCATATGTTCTACTTTCACTCATTGCTACTTCAAGTGAAAATAAATGTCATACAAAACAGCCAAAATGACTTTTCAGCAAGAATTAATAAAAGTTTTTTTTTATTACTTAGACTTTTAATATTAATTAATTATGTGCGTAAAATCATTGTTTACACATTATCAACCAGCCGTTAATATACATTTCACTCAACTGCAAACAAACATTAGTCTGAAGCAAAAAGTTTCATACTGACCCTGGTGTTTCGCCATCTAAGTCATTTAAAGAACTAAGAAAAGAAAAAAAAAAAGCGATTTTTGAGTATTACATTATAAAGAAACAATATCAGTATTTTGAGAGTGAAGTAAGGACCATATGAAAGACATGATAGACTTACTCATAGCTCAGGGACCGTGATGGTAAGTTGCTGATTTTTAAAAATGTAAGTAAGGACTTTGGCAAAATATCAGATTCCATGAGAGCCTGTAGAAATGAATGAAAGCAAAAACAGATTTAACAATTATTTTGACAAAAATGGTCGCCATACTGAATAAGATCACATTTTAATAGGCAACTGAACTTAATTTGAGCAAACACACAAACAAACATGGCCACTAGTTGGCCATATTGGATTGTTCACAAAACAAAATTATAACATGTTCCTGCAGGTATCCCATATTTATGTCATCTGAAATCTGCCCTGCCATCTCCAACAATATTTTGTTCTAAATGTTGAGATGTAAGCAAATTGTGCATTAAAAATGACAGCCAGCCTTCATTGAGGCACCAACAGACTTCTCAGGTGCAAAACACCAAAAAAGGTTGTTCGTTGGCGATGTTTCAGAAAAATAGGGTTGGTTAGACTTGATGCTCGCAAAAGATTTGGTCAATAATGAACTAAAAAGCTTATATCAAAAAATATAAAAATTAAAATTGACAAACATAATAGACATTATACCTGTAAATAGATTTCTAAGCCTTGTCGTCTTTGTTCCAAAACCTTGGATCCCCAATTTCTGACCCTTTTGGGAGGAAATTCTGGAGTACTGATGGTTTTTTTGAGCTAAACAAGATATATAAAGAATTATTTATGAATCAATACTATAAACAATGTGTTAATATGCATGATATGGAGACGTATATGTAGACGTAAGTTCATTCAAATAACTCCTGTGCAGAACTCACCACCACTCGGTAGTTCACTATATTCAGCAAACTTTGTTGTGTTTTTTGATAAAATCTTTAATATCAAACCAAATACAAATTTTTATCAAAATCTTGTCCAAATTCAATATGCTCAATTAATATGCTATCCAGGTGTGAAGATGGTTGGATAAGACTAGCTTGAATTATTGTAACCATAAGAAAATAATAAAGTTTACAATGGAGACAACGACAACTCGGACAGATATTTTACACTCA